AAATCCGTGGCCACAGAACAGCAGAATATGAACGCAATGCACAAAGTCTCTTGTTGAGCGTTTTCCTCCTGTAGAAAAACATAAACACTTAACTGCAGCCAGACCCTTCTCTTTTATCCAAAGCGACTTACAGTGCATTCAGGCTATACATTTTTTATCAGTATGCGTGTTCCCTGGGAATTGAACCCACGACCTTTGCGCTGCTAACACAATGCTCTACCACTGAGCCACAGGAACATTACATTACAGTTTTACATGCTGTATTGATTGTCCATTTGATTGTGAAGCATATTCAAATTAGATTATATGCATATTAGTATATATTGCACAAAAGTTTGCAAACTTTGCAAACCTAAATGAAAAAAAATTTAACTTTATTATATAATTTAATATATAAATATATTATTGTTGCATATATTGCACAAAAATGAGTGAGGTTTGCAAACCTAAATGAAAAAAAATTTAACTTTATTATATAATTTAATATATAAATATATTTATAAACGTATTGTTGCACATTAGGCCTCATATAATGATATTTGTTTTTGAACAGTGACAACAAAAGTTTTAATGTTCATTTGTAGATTTAAGGTCCAAAGTCCAAAGTCATTTGAAACTATTCAGCTGCATTTGCATTCTTTTTCCCAAATATCTGAATAGAAGACTAGAATCTAGAATGTTTATAGAGCATTATCTGACGCAGCTGACACAGAACAGCATACGTTGTTTACGTCCAGCGGATATTCTCCAAAATGGCACTACAGGGTGATGCGGAGGAGATTACAGATCTCCTTGCTACGTTTCTGGACTTGGGAACATTTCAGTTGCGTTGCTGTCTATGCAGGGTCAGACAGTTCTCAGATTCCATCAAGAATATCTTAATTTGTGTTCCGAAGATGAACGAAGGTCTTGCGAAGGTTTGAAACGACATGAGGGTGAGTAATTAAAGACAAAATTTTCATTTTTGGGTGAACTATCCCTTTAACTCTCATCTGGTGCTCGAGACATATGTCTCACTGAGGTTTAGGATGTGTGTGAATTAGGGATGCACCGATACCACTTTTTCCAGTACTCGCCCGATACCAATACTTTTATTTTTGGTACTTGCCGATATTTTTATTGCATTTGTACATTTTTTAAATATTGGGTACAGAAACCAAAAGGGTATGCATAATGTTAGTTGGTTAACTTCATTTATCAAATAGATGCAGTCAAACCAAAATTTATTCAGACACCTTCAACATTTCTCACATTAGTTTTAATCCAAATGATGCGTGTGCTAAGTGAGTGAACATCAAAGATCACACAACAGAAGTGCGCGCGCTCTCTCTCTCTCTCTCTCTCTCTCTCTCTGTCGCCTTACCGTTAAGTAACTTGTGCATTGTTTTACTTACTTGTTTTTGACATATCCGACCGAACTACAAACTTTCCAGTGATGTCTGTGAGAAAGGTATATTCACTCGACAAGCTCGCGCATCTGCGCCGCCGCGCGCTCAATCCACTCAGCGTGCTTTGTTTATCAGCTCGCGCACACCAGCTATACAGGCGTTAATACTGAATGTTTAACATTATATTCATTGCATACATATACTTTGTAGTAGACATCCTTAACTCCTTTCTGCTGTCTGTTGTTCTGTTGTCTGTGTTTCTTTGTCTGAATATGGCGCTTATCACGTGCTGTGTGGTATCGGCGTTTGGTATCGGGGCATTTTAACGAGTACGAGTACGAGTACAGGAGACCAGTATCGGGCCCGCTACCGATACCAGTATCGGTATCGGTGCATCCCTAGTGTGAATATTTGGCATTGAGGCACAGAGCTGCGGTGGCCTCAGATGAACCGTGCTGAGTCAAGTGATCAAATCTGAAACTCAGATCGATGAATGAACGCAGATGCCTCTCTCTTCTCCCAGTCACCATGTTCATCATTCAAAGGAAATGGTACTTTTTGGCCTTTGCTGCCAGGCAAAGTGATGCTTCTGAAGTCTCATTTTGTTTGATAGATCGTTCTGCAACAGGAAAGCTGATCTGCATCTAAAGTTTGTCTTTCTGTGGTGTTTACTGTTCGAGTGCAATCTCTAGCGTGACCTTTTCACACGGGTTTCCTAATTTTTTATGACTGCTAGAGTGAAGTGTCACTACGGCTATTAAGTTAAAATAAAATTGTTTTCTTCATGGGTAAAACTTGGCATTTGTTGATTTTGGAAACTTTGACTCCATGTTCATATTTCTGTCTGTGTGGTCCAAATTGTTTTCCTCGTCACATGTTTTTTTTTTTTTTGGGATGACAGTGTGAACGGCAAAAATCACAATGAATCTTTGTCAATTCTGGCCACTTAAGTATATGGCAATGCATCATATTCTTTTTAATATCTAGAATGTTTAGAGCATAATCTTGAATGTGAATTAACCCCCATTATCTGCGCTATACCTCAAATCATGCAACACTGTTTTACGTGTTGAAACTTTCAAAAAGTACACTGAATTTGACATTTCCGTCATTTATTTATGGAAATAAATCATTAGTAAATCTGAATTCATGCTAACTCAGATTATTGAAATGCTTGATTTTACCTTTAAATCACAAAATAATTTAGCATTTGCACTCTATAAAGTATTACACAGAAAGGTCCAATTAATGTGTTTCTGTTTTTTTCTTTTGTGGCAAACTTTTAATTAATTATTTATATAACAGCAACAATGATCATAATAGTAATAATGATGATAATTTTAAATAAATTATGATTATTCAAAAATGAATGCAATAATAATAATTATTATTATTATATTGCCACACATTTTAAAAATGCTTACATGGGAGCATTTCGAACCATAAAAGATTATTATTATTATGTTAACAATTAAATAAAAAAAATTAATAATATTGTTTTATGTTGAGTCTGCATTAATTTGGGGATTAAATTGTTAAGGCCCGTGTACACCAAGCACGATAACTATAAAGATAACGATAAAGATATAGTTCTAAAAATCGTTCTCAATATTAAAGAATAGCAGAGACCACACCACAGCTATAACGATAAAGGCACAGAGAAAGGATATTGTTGGAATCACTTTCAGAACTATTTTTCTTTTCAGCTGATGAACGATAAAAACATTGACAGCCAATCAGAATCAATCCTGCTATAACGAGCTTGAGAATTTAGCAGCAGACGAGTGTGCGCTTACAGACGATATCGTTCGCTGGTGTGGACGCTAATATCGTTATCTTTATAGTTATCGTTCGTGGTGTGAACAGGGCTTTATACTATGTGAAAACTGAGTTTTATTATTTATTAATTAATTATTTATTTTATTCACATATTTAATTGTGATAATTGCTTTTGAACAGTGAGAAGTTTTAATGTTCATTTTTTAATTTAAGACTGAAAGTAAATTTTTTTTAGGATTTTTTTTTAGGATTATTAGCATTATTTTCCTAATATCTGAAGAGAACAGAAGAGAAGAGAAGAGAAGAGAATGCTTGTAGAGCACAATGTTATATGAATTAATGAGATTGTGTTTGTGTGTTTCTCTGTGTTTTACAGGCTAGCGCTCTACGTGTACGAGTACTTGTTACATGTAGGAGCCCAGAAGTCGGCACAGACCTTCCTGTCAGAGGTGAGCCAGCGGCGGGTTTTATTTAAGCTCCTGCTTATCGATGTGCCATCCAGGCACACGGCCTCGTAAGCATCGGCCCGCCCCCCTGGGGCTCCGGCTAATTTAATTACACGCAGATGATATGCTGAGCAAGCAGGACACATTAGATGTTTAGTGTCCACTTAATGGGATTGGAGGAAAGTCAGGGCATCGCTGTAAAAATGGCCGTATTGTTTCAGCTGAGAGGCTGGAGCGGTGCTGGCATGTTGATCATCACCTCGTCCCGCTTTTTATGAAGAAAAGCGCATGTTTGCTTTGTGTGCCATCCAGGCACACGGCCTCGTAAGCATCGGCCCGCCCCCCTGGGGCTCCGGCTAATTTAATTACACGCAGATGATATGCTGAGCAAGCAGGACACGTTAGATGTTTGGTGTCCACTTAATGGGATTGGAGGAAAGTCAGGGCATCGCTGTAAAAATGGCCATATTGTTTCAGCTGAGAGGCTGGAGCGGTGCTGGCATGTTGATCATCACCTCGTCCCGCTTTTTATGAAGAAAAGCGCATGTTTGCTTTGTTATATCAGCTGCTCACGATCCTGTGTTTTATTTGCGATGTAAGGCTTTTAAGGACGATCACAATCATTTATGCCTGAATGAGTTCTTTTCAATGTCACTGAGGCAATGTGGGATTGGTCTATGTGAAGGAAACCATGACATTTCGAAGCACAACTTCGATATTTATAGTCTCACCATTATTTGCATACGAGTCATACACACTTAAGAGTACAAGCCATCTGAGAAAATACAATAATACACATTTAGCACACCATTTCTGATTGTCGTACTAATTCCAAAGCTGTGCCTATCACAAGAATGGCAGGCACTTCCAAGTCACCAGATATATTCAGATTTGCAAGGTTAACTTGTCCACACGTATCAGACTAGACTATTTTAAGTTAGCTACTTTGTATCTAGAAATAAGTGTGTTTAAAAGCACAAAATAAAACAACACGTTTGGTCCAGTTTATATGTAGTACAAGTAATGTAAAATATACACTTGAACTAGTTCGGCACTAGTGGTTGAATGTAGTTGAAATTATTATTTTTATTCAGAAAAAGGACACTGAATTGATTGAAAGTGACTAATGCTGTTTTGAATTTTCTTTTCATCAAAGAATCCTGAAAAAAGTATCACGGTTTCCACAAACATATTAAGCAGCATAACTGTTTCAACATTGATCATATTAAATATTTTTAGCAGCAAATCAGCATATTAGAATGATTTCTGAAGGATTTTGGAAGGATATATTCTAATAGAAAACAGTTATTTTAAATTGTAAAAAAATATTTCACAATATTGCTGTTTTTACAGTATTTTTGACTAAATAAATGCAGCCTTGGTGATCAGAAAAGACTTCTTGACCCCAACTTCTGAACAGTATTTTTGGTTAAAAATCTAGAAATTTAAATCCCATTTAAACCTGGAAATAAACAAAGTTTTAGGATTTTGAAAGTTTTCAAAAAAAGTTATGAAGTAAAATTAAGAATAAATATTTAAGATACCGCACTATTTTTAGGTTACTAATCAAATAGTCAAAAATTATGATTTACTTTCTTTCTTTCTTTTATTTATTAATTTTTTTTTACTATTTTTCTTTCAAATTATTATTGCTGATAGTATAATTTGTTTTAAATTTGAACTGAGTTGGTATGCATTTGGACTCCACTGTGTTGCTAAAATTAAATTAAACACAGATTTGTGGACTCAAAGTAAACTCGCCAAATATTGACCAATTAATTAGCTTGGCTGACTGCAAAACACATTATGGTGTACATTTAGCCTAATGAAGGGGAAATAGTCTTACTGTGAATTGAGTCTTACAGTTTCTCACCTCTCTATCCAGATAAGATGGGAGAAGAACATAACGTTAGGAGAACCTCCAGGATTCTTACATTCATGGTGGTGGTAAGATTCACATTGTTAAATGTTTCTCATGTGCTGATGTTTTATTCATGGCAACTGCTTCATTCACCTCTGTGTGATTTGCAGTGTATTCTGGGATTTATATTGTGCGGCACCTGAAAGGAGAGAAACCTGTGAGCATTCCAGTGAAGCCAAGGCGTTCCACGACTACGTAAGTTACTCTTACAGTGCATGGATGGATAAATGTGTGACGTAGTAGTTAAAGCTCAGAGCCGGGACGGACGGATAGATGAATGGAATGCTGGAAAGTTAGAATGCTAGAAAGATAGATGCATTGATAGATGGATAGAAAACTGGATGGATGGATGGATAGATGGATAGATGGATGGACAGAATGCTAGAAAAAGATGGATGGATGATAGATGGATAGAATGCTAAATAGAACACTAGATAGATAGATAGATAGATAGATAGATAGAACACAAGAAAGATGGAAGGATGGATGGATGGATGGTTGGATGGATAAAACACTACAAAGATGGATGATAGATTGATAGAACACTAGAAAGTTAGATTGATGATGGATGGTTTCGAATGCTAGAAAGATAGATAGAGAGATGAATGAATGATAGATGGTTGTTAGATGGATAGAATGCTAGAAAGATGGATGGATGGAACGCTAGAAAGATGAATGGATGATGAATGGATAGATGGATGGATAGAACTATGAGAAAAATGAATGGATGGATAGATGCATAAAACACTAGAAAGATAGAACACTAGAAAGACGGATGGATGGATGGATGGATGGATGGATGATAGAACACTAAACAAACTGATGGATGCATAAATAGATGGATAAAATGCTAGAAAGATAGAACACTAGAAAGATGAATGGATGGATGGATAGGAAGATGAATGGAAAAAACGCTAGAAAGACAGAACACTAGAAAAATGGATGGACGTATAAAATGCTAGAAAGATGAATGGATGATGGATAAAGGGATAGAATGCTAGAAAGATGGATGGATAAAACGCTAGAAAGACAGCACACTAGAAAGATGGATAGATGGATATAACACTAGAAAGATAGATGGATGGATAGAATGCTAGAAAGATAGAACACAAGAAACACGGTGTGTGGATGGATGGAGCACTAGAAAGATAGATGAAGAGATGGATGAATGGATAGAAAATGGATGGATAGCACACTAGAAAGATGAGGGGTGGATGGATGGATGAATGGACAGATGGATAGCATGCTAGATGGAGAGATGGCTGGATATATGAACTTTGACCAAGCGGATGTTTATCAGATCATTTGAGATTTGCAACACAATGCAAATGGTATTTCCCATGAGGCCTCAGTGCATCAGTGCAGTGATGTTGTGGCTTCATTCTGTGCATTGCAGTGTTCTGAGTAAGACCAAATGCTGCTGGGACTTACAGGAAGGAAGCGTGATTCAATTTCCTGTGTACCTCGGGCTGCTGGTCACCTTACGTCTCGTAAACAAGAGAGCAGAGGAGCTCAAGTTTTCCTCGTGTCACCTCGGAGGGTGTTGTAAACGTTCAATTATGGACCCGACTGCTTTCACCCAAACGCGCTGTCTGCTGTCTGCTGTTGTGTGCACCTCAGAAGCGCAGTTTAGGAGACAAGTAAAGAGCGCAGCAATGCTGAAGATCACTGGTTTGGCCCCGAACTCATTTCTCTTTCCAGCACCAATTAGCTGAATTTCCTCTTAGAGTGTCTGGAGTGTAGGCACAACACGAGTAATTACAGAGAGCTCGAGATCCTCAAACGAGAACATCTCCGTCCCATACATCGCCTGCTTTCTGTGACTAATTACCAATGTACAGCAAATGCGCTTTACAGCTGTGATGCACCATATCACATGACTACGGTTTTAAAAACTCAAAATTGATGAAGTTTGCTTTATAAATACGCATTTCTGTTTTTTTATTGTTAATGATTCAGCATTAGTGCACAATACTCCTAAAGAAAAATAGTTTTTTTTTTTTTTTTATCAAAATGTAAAGGCTTTTCGTATGATGTTATAAATCCTTTTTCTGACTCTATACTCAGACTCTATACTCTTATTATAATACCTAATAGACTTTTTACAGTTCATATACACCCGGCCACTACTTTTCAAAAGTTTGGTTTCTGTAGTTAGACACACACACACAAAATACAGTAAAAACAATAATACTGTGAATATTATTTCAATTTAAAATTTGCTGCTCAAAAAACATTTATTATTATTATCAGTGTTGAAAATATTTAATAATTTTTTGGAAACTGAGATTCCCTTTTTCAGGATTATTTTATGACATTTGTTTTTTTCTGGAAATAGAAATTTTTGTAGCAATATAAATATATTTACTGTCACTTTTGATCAATTTAATTCATCCTTGCTAAATAAAAGTTTTTTTTTTTGTTTTTTTACAAAAAAATAATCTTACTGACCCTAAACTTTTGAACAGTAGTGTAATTGTCAGTAGGGCTGTCACGATTATGAAATTTGGCTGACGATTAATCGTCACGGTTATTGCGATTTAATTGTCTGTTTTAGGGCTTTGGCGATTATGGCGATTATCACGATTAATTGTCTGTTTTTATGGCTTTCATTATATAATTGATTAATTTAAGGGTTCAGTAAATAATTTCTTTTCGAGTTATTATTTTGCAGTGTAAGATTACATAGAGTATTCCAAATTCTAAGAATTGGCCAATACTGGTCCAACACCAGCGCTATTTTTTTTCTACACCACTACAGAATATCTTTGTGGAATGTTTGTGGAACTAATGGTCACTCTTTTAAACCCTTTGTTAAAAGCAATCCACTAAATACTCACTTCCTCATTACAGAGAAAAAACGTTTTTGAATAAAAATATATAAACTATGAAATGAAACTAGCTGACTGTATAATTTAGCAGCAAAAACAATATCTTGAAAAAAAATCTTTGGTGCACATTATACAATTTAAACATGTTTATTCTGTTAACTATTTGTATTCTTACAAAATACATTCATGAATATAAGATAGAAATCATGAGAAAAAGAAAGGCTTCTAATAATCTTTCCGTTTGTGATAATTCCTTCCTTCCTTAACTTAAAGTATTATAATGGGAATATATCATCTTGGAGAGAGTTTTATGCTGACTGTCATAACTGGTCGTGACGTGCTGTTTGAATACTGAGCGGTAGTGATGCGCGGATGGCGGTTACATCCGCGGGCGCTGCGGATAATCCGCAGATCGGGTGGGTCGGGTAAATACAGAGAATTGTGAAATAGATTTTCATGACTTTTCAAAAACTTTTTGAATTTATTTATTTTTACAAAACTTTCTAGGCCTGGAAATTGCTGTTCAATGACTTTTCCAGGTTTTTTATGACCGTACGAACCCTAATGTGATGATCGGGTGCGGGTCGGGTGCGGTTATCTAAATCAGACAAAAATACAGGTGCGGTCGGTTGGCGGGTGGATAATTTATTTGAAGTTGCGGATTCGGGTGACGTTTTAGCTCATCCGCGCATCACTACTGAGCGGAGAATGACTTGACAGCTGCAGCAGAAGGAAGATGAGTTTCTGTAAACCTAAATTCTGTCCCTCACATTAAGATATGGAATGGCTTCAGATGATATAGCTGAGCTCCAGACTGCGACCATTTTTTCTGCCTGTGAGAATACATTTTGTGTGCGGTCGCACTGGTGCAACCACCGCGTTGGTGAACTCATAAGCGCTGCAATTTCTGTTGCATATGAGAAACATCAAATGGCAAACGAAACTGAGAGCATAACGAAACAGCGCTTAGAGAGTATATTCGCCGCGTCAGCACGAGCGCGAAGGTACGCGCAGCAAAAACGACACGCATATTGAGGAAACGATGGATGGTTTTCAAGCGAAAGTCAAGTAAAAGACCACTTCTTAAACCAGAGAAGGTGAACATGCTGGTATTCTTGTGGGGAAAAACACATGCAAGCACTGTCACCGATAGTTTTACTTTTCTTTTTGTTTTCGCTTTCTTACTGATTTATTGTTGTTGTGCTTTTTAATTAAGAATAACAATGAATCCATGTTTTGTTTTAGTCTTAAAAAAATGAAAGGTGTGTGTATGTAAGCAAAACAGTGACAACAAGATCGCGAATTCGAAAGTGAAAGCATCCGAAGCCCGCGGCTTAACACAGCAAAAGAGAAAGAAACTCCCATTCACAAAATTTAAATCACAAATAATATTACTGATGATGAAGAACGGGTTGAATGTTAACCACTTTCGTTTCCATATAACTATAAACTATGATAAAAGTTAATCAGCATGCATTGAATAATCCCATGTTGTAGAGCAAAAAAAAATAAAATATTGCGACCAAATCATCTGCTCCTGCGACCAGCTGAGAAAGTTAGTTGCAAAAGAGCGACCAGTGGGAAGAATGAGTCTGGAGCCCTGTATAGGCTATACAGTGCATGAAAAGCAAACTGGTGCTCTTCTGTTTCTTTTGGTGTATGACTCCCCCTTGTCTCGTATAAAAAGCACAATAATCGTCTGAAACAACCGCGGTTAGATCAAATAATCGCGATTAGATGGTTATTTAATTATCGCGACAGGCCTAATTGCCAGTCCTCCAAAACATTTTTTCTGACTAAATATCCTATTTCATTCCAAAATATGTAACGTTTGAAATAAAATAGGTTGTGAATGCAGTTTCACGTCGACTTGCATATGTTGCTTGATTTTGTTTGGACTGTGTTGCACATATGCTTTGTTTTCCCAGCAATATAATAAAGTTGCACGGGGGAGTTGTTCTCATCCTGATTTGGAGGATATCAGAGGCTCAGGCAGACGTGCAGTGCCATCCTACGTGCCAGAGACAGTGCGGTGGCTTTTGTGCTAAGAATAAAAGCCACAGCAAGAGGGAATAAAGCCCTCATGTCTTCCCTCTCACCTCTCCTCATCCTCCCTCAGGAAGCAAGAACACGTCCAAAGAGAGCTTCCTAGAGGTCACTTTCCAAGACAAGGTCAAAATGTCACCTCTCTCTGTGAGTGTGATGGGATGCTTCTCTCTCTGGCTGTGTTTTCAGTGCCATACTAGCATACTGCTGTTTGGGAAGTGTGTACTGTATACTGCCTACTGATTCTTTTCATTTATGCATTTGGCAGATGCTTTTATCTAAAGTGACTTACATGGCATTCAGGGAACACATGTACAT